GAAGTGAGGACAATCGCCGTATTGTGCCCACTTTCTGTGAAACTAGCTATGCTGTTATTTACTATTCCACCAAATTAATATAAACAGTGTGCTGTAAAACGCTTTATTCTGTTTATACTACATATTGTCGGCCCGTACGTACGTTAGTACTACATTTGGTGGCCCACTACGTGCTCATAAATGACTGTGTATTCGTGTAAAGATTGATTTTACATGATGGCATGGAAAATAACAGTTTGTCAGCTGTGATTGAACGCAACATGCTGGAGCTGCCGCTTGGAGCTTGGCTCTGCATGTTTACGCTGTGTTACGCTAGTGATGTTTTGAAAGCTGAAATAGTGTCATTAAGTGTTTTTAAAGCTGAAATTGTACGCCTGTTACGTGTAACTAAGCTGATGAGCTGTGGAAAACGTTATTCTGTTTAAAAGGACGGAGGTTCTGCTGCAAGACCCGGCTGTGGTCCGGTTCGGTTCTGAAAAAGTTCGGACGAGTTGTTTAAATAGCTAGAAAGACGTTTTTGAGACCGGAGTAGCAGACTCCGTGCAACTCAGAATTGATTCGTTACAGTTTTTAACAGAAAAAGTGCATTTTGACAGTTTAAAAGACGAAAAGTTGACGAACTTATTTCAGGCTAATCTAACATGCTAGTTGCTAAAACGCTTCCTGATTGGTTGGATTTGCTGTTGTGGAGCGCTCTGATTCGCTGAGAAGTTGAATGACGGGCCTACGTCATTTCCTCTCACCCCCGTGCCGCTCTGTCATTGGTGATTTCAGTCACGTGACCTGGAAATGAAAATTTGTTTTCATAGGGAAATAAAAACTGCTTTTTAAAGCTGAAAAGCGCTTTAAAGTGTATTTTGACACGCTGGTTAAGTTCTTCGAAGCATACTCGCTAAAATTTTGCCACGTTAGAGTTTAAAATCCGTCATTAAATGATGTTTTTGAACAATGCTAGCGATGCTAATTTTAAGCTAACAGCTAACGACCGGATGAGTGACGTGTCACGTCACTTCCTCCATGTCGGAAATGAGCTTTGCCGTGCTTAAAATCACTAAATAAAGCTGGCATATGTCCCATAAAACTCGTGTTCATGCATAACAGTCGTGCTTGTTGAAACAACGCCACGTTTACGCTTAAATTCGTTCAGAAATGTTGATTTTAACCGAGTTTAGCCGAAGCTAACTTTAAGCTAAGCGGCTAAAAACAGGATGTCAACCGAACGTCACAGGAAGTCGTCATAGACTCCTGCTGTAGAAAGCTAAACACTGCCCCCTCCTGGAGAAACTTGAGATCACGGTTTCACTTCAGTTTTAGGTATTTTAGTGAAATTAAACGGGTTTTTTTTTATCTCTGTAAGACGAACTTTGAGTTAACAAACTTCCTCTAGCTGAATAATCACTGTTATCTTGCATTTAAAAAGTGAAGGGTATTTATGCAGAGAAGCATTTACCAACACATTTTTATTCACTGGTAATTCCTTAAGAAAAAGGTACAAAATGAAAAATTAGAAACTTTTTAAAAGATACGGTTCAAATATTCACAGAGTTGAAAAGTTTACTCATTTTGCTTGAAAGATAATACACGTTTAATTGCAAAATCACTAAATAAGAGTAAACTTATCAGGAAAAAGAAACTTTTCTGTTTAAGTTGCCACCTAAAAAATAAATCTTCCTATTTAATTTTAAATAGAAGTTACTGACAGGAGGACAGGAGTAATAACAGTTTTTCTGAAGAGAGACTGATTAATCCTGACACATCATCAACTGTTCTTTTTCTTTTCACCACTTGGTTCTATGAGTAACTGTAAATAGCAAATTTCTGGAACAGAACGGTTTAAAAAACGTTTTAAACTGATGATTGCTGTGAGACTAAAGAAAAATTGCAGGTTTATTAAAAATTCAGTGCTTTAGAGTAAAATACACTAAAAAGAGCTTGGTAATCTAGTATCTGTTAAGAAATAAGCACATAAAAAGTAACACTGCCAGAGAGCATTTACTTAAATATTCATGAATTGGGGTAAAACCTGAGAAAGGTACCCACGTTTGAATAAGTGACTTATAACAGTACTTTTGTGTAAACCCAAGGCTAAAATAGCGTGACACTCATTGACATTTGAATACAATTATTTACCTGTAAAAATATCTGAAGTTTGCAACTGTTTTAAACAGATAAAGTGCTACACAGTGAACGAACATGACAGGTGCGTTAGAAAAAGACTTTGGTCCTTATGGGATAAGGGACTGCCTAGAGAATGAGTTAGCGCTTCTGACAGATTCCTTACATCCATATGATAAACAGGCAGAGAGCATGAACCCAAAAGAGTTATTGGACAATCTGATGGAGGTTGCAGAAAGTGTGACCTCTACAGAAATTACAAAGTCAAACTATGAAAAGCTGGCTAAAATTGCAATTTTGCTGAAAGAATCATTCTATGCAGTTGTTGAGAAAGCTGATAACCTTACACTAAGGTTAGACAGTGAAAAAGTGTTTGCTCAGGAAATTGAAGATCACTACCTTCAATTTAGAAGCAAACACGAGGTCCTCATGACGAAACATTATGAACAGATGTTTCAGTTAGAGCAAAATGCACGTGCAGAAGTTGATTCAATGACCAGCAAAATACAATTACTTGAGGCATCACTATCTGAAGCCAGGGATGCTACAGATGTGCTTAAGAAAGATCTGCACAGACTCGAAGTGCATAAACAGATATTACTGGAAAAAGTTGTGCATTCACGACGTGAATGTCGGTCATCGCAGGAACGCCTGAAGGCTTGTGAGGAGGAACTGGCCGCAGCAACAAACAAGATTTCTGACGTGGGGCGAGTTTGTCTGGAACTCAGAGAAGACCGTGGACAGAGTTCAGGTCACCCACAAACACCTCAGAAAGACGTTGTTGCACATCCTGCT